CTGGTCAGTTTCACTTACTACATTCTTACATTCATAACTCTATTTTTCATTACTTATATTTTACCTATTTTAATAAATGTCCAAAAATAGCTGAGTGCCACTTGGTGGCTTATGTCTATCAACCTAGCTAACCAGGTAGTTGAGATCTGACGTTCAAACCAGACTACACAGAGACTCTATCTCCAAAATAACCACCAAATAGAAACATGACTCAAATGGTAGTGTGTCAGATAAGGTCTCCAGTTCATAGCCTAGGACCACCAAAAAGAAATTGAAAATATAAGAATGAAACATTCAGAGTGAGATACACAGAAAGTTGAAAGAAAAGCAAAGAGAGCATATTGTTCCCGAACCATTTGAGTTGTTAACATTATACTTCATTGCTATCAATCTTTTTTGATCACTGATTTATTTACTCAGAAGAGGATGCATGTGCTTCTTTCTGAGAATAAAAAAGGACCTCTGCAACAAATGATTATAAATAAAGAAGTAAAGAAAGTATGGTGTAAATTCTCTTGAGGTGCAGAGTGATTTATTCAATGGTTTTTACAAAAAGAATTGCTCAGTCTTGACTGGATTCACACTCTGATTTTGTTCTTGCTGAAAGAGTATCTGCTGTCTTATTTTCTTCAGATTTCAGAGGATTTTCAGAAAGATTTGTAATGTTTATTTAGGGAAGGGATTTTATTTTGTTGTGAAAATTATTTTTTAACATATACCAAAAAAGAGCACTGTGTTTGTCTAGTGACTTGTTCCCGGTTTTAAATACCTAGTTCTCCTACCTACAGGGGAACAACACATGCTGAGTGACTGTTCATGCAGAAAGGCCCAGCAAAAGTGCAAGATGAAAAGTAATTGATCATAAAGCCAGATTAAAATGTGGATTATACTTAAATGAAAAATGAATTATATACAATATACTATTGTTACAGAATTAATATAGTAGTTTGGTGACATTATGAGGATTATAATATATATTCAATAATTAAAAAAAGGAATTCATTAGCCTGATGCTGGTGACCCATACCCGTAATCCTAGCTACTCAGTAAGCTGAGACCTGAGGATCTATGCAGTCTATGCAGGCTAAGACATTTAATACAGAAGTAAGCCCATTGAGGAATTACTTTACAGTTTGATAAATGCTTGTAGAAATGTGTCTTAAGTACTGGAAACTGGAGTGTAATTCATCCTGTGGACATATTTAGGTTAAGTGGAAGGAACCTACACAGGTGCTCCAGTGTTTCTTCTAGTCATTACTGCTATGCAACAGCAGAAAGGATCCCTTCTTCTATGACCGGCCAATGGCTTAATACATATTATGTATATACAGATCCCAGACTGTACTGATGGCATTTAAGAACATAGCTGAGGTTTTTGACCAATATTTGAAGGTAAGGAGGCACTCAAAAACAAGACATGAGAAACCAAAAACTCTGGTGTTTTAGAAATAATTATTAGCCCATATGAGGGGGATTTCACTGTGATATTGCCTTGCCTACGTACACATAATTTCCTCCACTCACTCACTCTCGCCACCTGTCTCTACGGTCCCCTTCTGCCTTGAGACAATTTCAAATGGCCTTATTATTTTACTTTGCTCTGCACACGTAAAGTACTTGGATCATTTTCACCATGATCCACCTTTTTTTTTTTTTTTTGCCTTTCATTCACTACTGGCATTTGACTTACATGGTAGCCTAGCCTAACATCCTTTTAAAAGTTCTTTTGTAATTTTATTAATTATACACAGGTGTTCACCAGGGTAATTCACATGTGTTGGAGCATAGTTTAGGTGGATGGACTACATCTATGGCTTCCTCGTCCTTTCCCTCCCACCTGCTATTGTTCACTAACGTTCACTGACTTTCCTTATGCGGTTGTTGCCTAAAACATTGTATATGTCTACATTATTCATTCTCCATCACTGTGCATTATGACATTTGGAAGATTGATTTTGTAATCACACAAAGTGTGTTCACTCTGAAGCCTTAGAGCCATATTTTTCTGAGGCATGCATATGTGGTAAACCTGTCCCAATTGTGGGAATGCTGGAGGAAAAAAACTATATGTAAACATAGTATTTGGGGGAAGGGAGCAGTCCTGAGGCTTAGGCTCAGGGCCTGGGTCCTGTCCCTGAGCTTCTTTGATTCAAAGCTAGCACTCTACCACTTGAGCCACAGCGCCACTTGTGGCCTTTTCAGAGTAGTTTATTAAAACACAGACTTTCTTGCTCAGGCTGGCTTTGAACCACAAGCCTCAGATGTCAGCCTTCTGAGTCATTAAGATTACAAGCATGAACCACCAGTGCCTGGCTTGACATAATATTTTTCAATGGAAGTATTTTGGAAGATATTCTAAATTTTAAGGTTTTTATTTTATAAAGATATTTAAAGAATAGCTTCTTTATTGTCTTACAATTCTTGTGCATAAAATGTATTCTAGGAGTAATTATTTTTAAATTTAGATTCACTGGGTGAGAATAACAAGAAGGAGTTGACTTTTTCACAGCAATCTTTCAAATGGCACTATTATTTTATCCTACCACTTTGTAGAATCACCTTGGTGATGGTCTATCAAACATTTTCCTATGATCTGGAGCCACTACTAAAGACAAATTGGCACTGAAGTTTGTTAAAGAAGTAAAAATAAATCGTTGGCTTATTTTTGCATGCTTATCTATGAGATAATGTGACAAATATATACAGCAAACTATAAATACTCACTTTTTTGTTTTATTTTCCTACTACTGGGGTTTGAACTCATGACCTTGAGTTTACTTGGCTGGTCCTTTACTACTTGAACCACACCTCCAGGCAGATATTTGCTGGAGTCCCACATACTTTTCTACTTGGGGTGGCTTGGAGCTATAATTTCAACCTCCTAAATAGCTAATATTACAAGTGTGAGCCACTGACATCTGGGTAAATACTCACTTTTATAAAATCAAATTTAATTCAGCTTAAAACAATATGTTCTAAGGTCAAATGCTCATCTTTGCAGAGATTTACAAATAATGTTTTAATATAGTCATTCATTCATTCATTCATTCCTATATTGAATTTACCAATATCACTGTGCCTAGAAGGAGAAATATAATGAAGAACTAGAAAAACATAATTATCAGACCATCAAGCTTAAACTGTAGCAGATAAGACAGACCAGTAAACATGAAATGACATTAAGTACCTGTGCTCTGATAGGCATTAAATTTGATCTATATGCTTGTGTGTGCACACATGCAAGTATGTCTGTGTGAAAATTCCCAGGAAGAAAGATGGTCGTGCTGATTTTATAAAAATGAATGGGAAAATAGAATAAATAGAATGTTGCCTCTTTCATCTACAATACTCATAGGTATGTGGAACAGTAGTTTGGAAAGCAGTCGATACTTGTGCATCCTCAGGGAAAAATAATTTAAAGTTCATATAATATGACACTCACATATATTTTAGTTTGAAATTCAATGACATTAATAAATTCCTATTGAGTGGTAGCACTTTTCTTCTGCATTCTCCTGGATTATCCTAATATTTCACAGCTACAACTTACCTGTTTTGGTATTGCAGCCTATCCAGCCTTAAAAGAAGCTCTCTATCCGAGATAAAATTATGAATTCTAAATTGTGTGTAAAGCTGGAAATAAAGTATGACTTTTTAAAGATATGTTGGTTAAAGCAATACACTTCTGCAGATTAGGTTCCTCTTGTGTGGTACAATAAGTTAAGGTCATAAGTTTGAGGCTGAGATGAAATGCAGTTTCTTTCAAGGTCTGAGGCAATGAGGAGTTCAGGAAGAGTAAGAAATGGTGAGATTGTAGTAAATTCTGATCCCTGAACTAAGCCAACGGATGAGGTGGTTGTTACTGTGAAGTTATGAGGGGAAGAAGAAGGAAAAAAAATTAAAATCTCTGCTTTCACTCAGCATTTGTTTCAAAAATATTTACTAAGTGTTTTCTGTTAGACGCATATCATGAAAATCAGGGATTTAAAGTCTAGCAGAACTGACAGATATGAAAAATCAAATATTTCGACAATAATGACTAACAGCTTGTGGTAAACAAGTACATATTGGATGTGAAGACAACTAAGTGCTTCACATGGCTGTGCTGAATTAATCTTCATAAAAGGTATAGAAGATGGGTACTGCTCTTAACCTACTTTTCTAGAAGTGTAAACTGAGGTTAGCAAAATGTGACAGGATTATTTATTTTCCAGGTTACTCAGCTAGTTTAGTAAACAAATTCAGAGTTTTCTTTTCCTCTGCGACTCTTCTAAATATTTTATTTTGAACTGCATTTAGATCAGACAAGGATAGTACAGACAGCATAGCTCCAATTTATGTGTGAGATCCCTATGTTAGCTATCCCATATTTTCTGTAATGCACTTGTCAAAATTACAAAATACACACTGGCATCTTGTTAGTAATTAAGCTCTAAAGTTTACTTGAACTTTAAGTTTTATGTTTTTATTTTACTTTTAGAGGGCTTTCTTTTGTTTGAAGTCAATACATTTTTATTTAATTTTAATTTTAATTTAATATTTATTTTACATGTTGTGATTCCTGCACTGCCCATGTAGGTGAAGTTAGAGATTTCTCTTGAAATTTGGACAGCCCTCTTTCAAAGAAACAATGCTGCCCAAGAGGCTGAAATCTTATCCTGATTGTTGTATCCAAATGACCAACAAAAAGCCGGAACTCATTTGGCAAAGCACCAGGTCCAGAGTTCTATCTTCAGCGCCAGCACACTCCAAAAAGAACTGATCATCCCTGCCACAAATCTTTTATTAGGGCTTCTTTTAGCACCATTATAGAAATACCTCAAAGTCCCACCTCTAAAATCTTTAAAGTAGCCTTCCTCTAGCAAATTATCTTGGGATCACTTTTTAGGTATGTCCAACTGCTTGATTCAACTGCTGACCACATAGAAAAAGAAAAGCCTTTACTGAGAAAAGCATTTACTGTAAGTAATATTGATATGAATTGTCAAAGAAACTGTATATACTGTATCAATAGAAATACCAGATTTACCAAAGACAAGGCCAAGAAAACCAACGATGCCAGATATTGAATTTCTATCTCGCTGTCCTTTGAACATGAAGTTTACTTTTTTTTTTAATCTTTCGAGATTCAATCCAGGGTATGATTTTTTCCAAGTGATGTTTGAACTTGTAAGACAACATGAAGAAAGCTTACTAAATAAAGGAAGGATGATATAAGAAAGGATAGTGAGTGAACAAAGTGAGCCTGACTATATTTTGTCTTCATTCTCAAGTGAAATACTCCAGGTGAAAAGCAAAACACTGTAATTCAATGACTTCTCAGTGACTCAAAGGGATTGGAACAAATGGTGAATATAGAAAAAATAATAGGAGCTAACAGTGGAAACTTAATCTAGGGTAAAAATAAAATTAAATAAAAACCTTGATTGTCATGTTTAAGAACGATCACTTCAAGTTACAGTTCTCAAAGCTTTTGACGTATTAGGGCAGAGGAAGAGCAGTCAGGTGATCCTTGTGAAAAGGTGGCATTATGTAGAAGGTGAGCGGAGTTTGAGGGGAATTTGTTGAAGGGAGTTTATTTAGGATGGATGTGTTGTTTGTCATTTATGACATAATGGAACCGATGAAGAATTGAACAAAGTGTTGTCAACAGATACAGAGGAGCTTTAACCATCAGATGCAAAGTGAGAGTAGTTGTATACAAGCTTATTCATTTGCTTGTTTGATAAGCAGTGTTGCTATATTTCAAAATTGGAAATGGAGAAAGACAAATGGGGATGGGGAAATGATTCTGAGTTCCTTATTTGTCTTTTATTTCTTTTGTGGTATGACCATTACCAGGAGCCCAAGAGGCAATTGAAATTAAATGTGGTAAGAGAAGATGACATCAATTGGGGATTCTTTGCATCATACCACGTGGAAGCAAGACTCAGTGAGGTTACAGAGGGGTCAGAAAAGGAAGACCTCAGGCCAACATGGAATTCTATCACTGACAATTCACTTAGTGAAAACTTATATGGAGATGAAGCATGTAGAAAGAATGGAGGATAGTTATAGTAAAGGGTGGCAGTAAAAACAGAGGAAATGTATCACAAACATGTGTGATGATCTCAAACATAAATCAGAACATGACCAAGGAAATAATTAGACAGCTTGAAGAAAGAAACTTCTCCAAAGGAAACTTGATAGGAAAAAAATAGAATGGAAAAGAAAAAAATCCTGTAAGTGTAGAATGCATCAGAAGTTACAACCTATCATAATTTAAAAGCTAGAAAGGTAAGGAAGAAGGAAAGCAGCAGAAGAAATACTTGACATAATAACGACCAAAATGTTCCAAAAGTCATTACAGACACCAAGATACAGATGTAGAGAAATCAGGAAACACCATGCAGAATGTATGCCAACAAGTCTCCTTCTAGGCACATTCTAATTAAATGACAAAAATCTAAACACAAGGAAAACTTTTGAAAGAATTCAGATGTGGAAAATAGTCAAAAACACCTTGCCAGTTGTAGACCAAAGATACAGTGGGTTTCTCATTAGAAATCAAGCAATCAAGAAAATGGCATCTTCAAGTTTTAAACTGTGGAATTCTCATCTAGATGTCTACAGCCAAAGAAATTACCTTTGAAAATGAAGAAATAATGACTTTCTCAGATGAGCAAAAGCAAGCAGATCCACTCACAGCAGACCTGTCCTGAATTCTTCAGAGGGAAGGAAAACAAATTCTATAACCAGTAATTTTTATGTATTCAATGAAATGAAGAAAACAAGAGAGGAAGAAACAGATAATGTATTTCCATTTTCTTATTCTTACTGAATCTAACTGCCATCAAGAGTAACTATTATAATGATGTCATATGGGATTCAGCAGGGGTGGATGACACTCTATTGGAAGGTGTTTGCCATACATGTTAAGTGGGAGAGTGCTCTTTGCCATTAAATTTAGACCTTTTGTAATGATACTTTTAAATTTCAGTGCAAACACTGATGTTCAGAAGAGATGTGCATTATATCCCACTAGACCATATAAGATAGAATCATAGAAAATACTCAATTAAAATAAGAGAAGGAAAAGAGTTGGAAGGAACAAACAAATGAAAGAATATGTGCAAGGAGTAGAAATCAGTTACAAATAGAGCTCCCAATAATATCACTCTAATAGGAATTATATTAAATTAAACGCGAGTCATCTAAATTCACTAAAAGGCTCAACTATATGTTATTTGCAAGAAATTTTCTTTATATAACAAAGTTATCCAGTAGATTAAAAACAGAGGGATAGAGTAAAATACTGAAAGAAAGCTGGAATGTCTAGGTTAATTTTAGCCAAAGTAAGTTTTGGTATAAGAATAAATATCTGCAATCAAAAAGGGTATTGAAAAGGATACAAGTTTCAGTTCTCCAAAAGACATAAAACCACGGTGATCCTTCATACTACAAAATATGAAAATACATGGGTCAAGCCTGATTGAAGTACAGCAGAAACAAACACACTACTATAGTTCTACTCTTATCACTGTTATTAGTCAGCATATAGAAACTGTGACAAAATAACAGAGATGAACAGTATATGAGGAAGAAAAGTTTATTTTGCCTTACACTTGGGAAGTTTCAATCCTTAGACTTTAGGCTGTTGTTTGGGGCCTATAGTAGGGGAATACATCATGATAGTATAATATAGTGAACAAGGGCCTTCCACTAATAGGGACCAAGACCACACACGGAGAGGAAGGGGCCAAGCTCTCAGGAGTACAAAGATACTCTCCCAATTGCTAATATCCTTCCATTAGCTCTACCTTCTTAAGGTCCCTCCATTTCTCAACAATGTAGTAGACTGGTGGCAAGTCCACTAATATGTGGGTATTTGACCCAACTATGGAAGCTATCCCTCTCTCCTTTCAGTAACTGGTATATCCAATAGACTAAAAAGCAGGAAGATGTAGCTGAACCAAGCACCAATATTAACAAGCTGGAGCTGACTGACATTATAGAATCTTCCATCCAATACTAGCAGATTATTAATTTTTCTCTGAGTTACATGATACAGTCATAGAATAAACCACTTTCTAGACAATAAAATATACTTTAGCAAATTTAGAAGGAGAGAGATCAAATAGAGCATACATGCAGAGCCCAATGAAATTAAACTTGAAACGAATCACAGAGATAGATGGAAAATCTGTGGCGCTTCACAGATTAAGTAACACATTTCTAAGTAAAACATGGTCAAAGCAGAAGTTGCAAGAGAAATTTAAAAATATTTTCAAAGTAAATGAAAATGAAAATACTACTTGTTTACATTTGTAGGTTTTGTTGAAATCTGGAGAGAGAAATCTGTAGCATTATAAGCATATATTCAAAAAGATAATAACAGATCATAGCTAACAATATGTAGGAAACTTTGTTGCTATTTTGAGACCTGATTGCCTAAAAATCTAATAACTGATTGCAGTAGAATGAGGAGAAAGTGAATAGAAAAGATCCCCTCCATAAGTATCAACTAATCTTTTGAGAAACACATTTATGATTTCTATTTTTTATAGCTTTCAATGTCCAGAACACTATTCTTTGAACTGGATCCAAATACGTCAGCCCCTTACGACGCCTTTGTCTTTTCTTCAGTGTAACTTTTGGAATACTCAGCCTAAGACTCAAGACAAGACAACATGTCACTACACTTTTTTGTTAATGTGTAACTGTAGTTAACTAGGTTGTATATATCAGGGAAGAAGAAAGTCCTCCTAAGAGAGAATCATCAAGTGATCCCAGGTGATCCATCAATGGTTTAGGAAGGAAAGCCCAGGTTCATGTCCTAGAGTTTGGACTAGGGTATTAGCATCAGTTCTTCTATCTCCCAGTCTACCACATGCCATGTTTCAGCAGTTCCTGCCAACTTTGCCTAAAAAATATGATGGCAGGAGCCTGCAGACACCTGTTTACACTTCCCAGACCTAGAAGACACCACTCTGGGATTATTGCTGTGACTCCCCTTAGGGTCTATTCACTACCTCTTCTCCTGTGCAATCCACTCTACTCAGCAGCCAGGATGATGATTGAAAAATTCCCACTCAGAATTGTATTCCAGTTGAACTATTCTCCGCAGTCGCAGTCGCCGTGGAAAACAGATCAGTAGTAATCACTTTACCCTACAGCGTTCTGAGTGCCCTGAAGGCTTTTACAACCACTTACTGGTGTTCAATCTGGATTCAGCCTTCTTTTTACTCAGCCTTATTTCTCACACTTTATTTATTTTAACACTGTTCCCTATATTTGTAATTATATGTTTAGCTGCTCATTCACTTTCCTATTACCTCTCTGCACGAGTCAATAAACTTCAGAAGGCCTTGGATTATATTTGTAGCCCAAATGGGAACCACTGATTGCTTATGTATGAACACCTGAATCCTGGGCTTGGAGAGAGGGTAGGCAGGGAAGGAAGTCTGTAAGGAGACTGCTCAAGATCAGTGTCCTTCTGGAAACACTCCAAGTCTTTCAGCACTTTCTAGAACTCTTTTTTCTTTTAAAATAACTGTTATTAATGTATACTGATTGCACATTTAATGGGCTTCAATGTAATACTCCAAGATGAGCATTTACGGAATTTGGGCAATTAATTACCTTCCCTTTTCTCTCACAAGCTCCTTCCCTTCCAATACTAGTCTTTCTAAATCAGGTTGCTATGTATTCCTTTAAAAAAGTCTTTATTCAAACTTCCACGTATGAGAGAAATTATATAAATCCTCTATTTTTGCATCTGACATTTCACTTCACATGAGGACCAGTACCTTCATCTTCCTGCAGATGACATTGCTTTCTTCTTAGGGCCTAAAATTACTCCAGGGTGTATAAATGCACCATATATCTTTTTTTTTAATTTTTTATTGTGAAAATACTGTACAGAGGGGTTACAATTACATGGGCAAGATAGTGAGTACATTTCTTATCAAGAATTGTAGCCTCCTCCTTTGTTTACCCTTCCCATCCCTTCCCAGCCTCTCCCTGTTCCCCCACCCAATCCTCCCCCCCTACCAAAGTTGTAAAGTTCGTTTTTGACATGACAACTTGTACTTCTCACTGTTGTATCCTTATTTAAACTACTTGTTTTTCCCCATCTCCTCCACAAATTATACCTACATCA